CACCAGAGGGGCATCTGAATAGTATTGTTGGATTGTGTCAATGTCAGTAGTTCTTTGGTTGTGATATTGCACTGAAGTTTTGCAGGATATTACCATTGGGGGAAACTGAGGAAAGGGTACATGTGATTGTTTATTACAACTGAGTGTAAATATATGATTATATTTCTAAAACTGGCAGTCAGGTAATTGTTATCTCAAAGGATTTTATCCTTTATCTATTTATTATCTGTATAACAAAAGATGACTTTATGATTGATATGATAGATTCATAAACGTACAAACTTGGACCCTAGCAAAGTACAAACTGACTGTGACCTAGACTTGCATCCTGCTTCTACCACTTTTTACCTGACAAAATACCTAATCTTTTATGACTTTATCACATTAGCTGGATAAAGATAATAACAGTAATTACCTCATTGGGGTTTCAGGAGTTAGTGAGATAGGGTTTGTGAATAATTTTTCTAGAGCTTAACATGTGGGACACACTGAAAAATATTAGCTTCTATAGCCATCATCATTGCTTCCATAATGAGAGCCAAAAGAGGATCTTTTCACCATTCTCCTCAGTGTGGATTCTCTCTAGCTATTCTGTCCTGGGTTGTCTTTCATAAAGGGCACTTTGAATTGTCACCACATTGTTTTACTTAGAATAAGTTAAGGGCTATTTTTATTTTGTCACTTGGAACTGAATGATCATTATTGAGAATGATCATTATTGATGAATCCATTATAAATATTTGAATTATTGAAGGTATACATTGAGTTCAAGTACATTCTAGGTAAAAATAAGAAAGAAGAAGGATGGACTTTATTTAAAATTGAACAGCATTTATAGCATCCAAACTCCAGAACCACATCCAACAAAATACCTCTGAAACACAAAATTATTTTCACCTGGAGAACTCCAGGTTTTCTCTGCTAAAACTCTACAAGTGACTTCTTTCTGTTCTATCATTGACTTTCATGTGATGTAACAGAGCTGCAGACAGAGTAATTATCAGCTCTGGACTCTAGGACCAGCCCTGTCTAGGCAGTATAACCTTGTCTAGCCATCTGTTTCCTGGTGCGTAAACCGTGAGGACTGGACTACATTAGTGGTTCTCAAAGAATGATCCCTGGACCAGCAGCACCAGCTGCATTTGGGAACTTGCTAGAAATGTACACTCTCAGGCTCCTCCTAAGACTTACAAATTCAGAGACTCAGTATACTAACAAACCCTCTAGTTGATTCTGATGTACACTAAAGTTTGAAAATCACCACTTTAGGGGCCGGCGCCGTGGCTCACTTGGTTAATCCTATGCCTGCGGTGCCGGCATCCCATATGGGCGCTGGGTTCCAGTCCCAGTTGCTCCTCTTCCAGTCCAGCTCTCTGCTGTGGCCCGGGAGGGCAGTGGAGGATGGCCCAAGTGTTTGGGCTCCTGCACCCACATGGGAGACCAAGAGGAAGCACCTGGCTCCTGGCTTTGGATTGGAGCAGTGCCAGCCATAGTGGCCATTTGGGGGGTGATCCAACGGAAGGAAGACCTTTCTCTCTGTCTCTCTCTCTGTCTAACTCTATCTGTCAAATAAAAAAAATCACCACTTTATTAAGTTTTAGGAAAACATTTAGATTGTTGGATCCAATCACAAGTTTATGATTCCAGAGATATGGGGTATAACCCAAGAATTTGCTTTCTAAAAAAAAAGCTCACAGACATTGCTGATGTTCTTTGTCAGGTACCAAATTTGAAGTTACTAGATTAGATTAACTCTAAGCTCTATTCCAACTCTATGATTCTAGTGTTGTTGCTTTCATAATGTCTTCTGTCCCTCTCCTTATTTACTTTGTCTCTCAACTTATTGAGATAGCCTTTTCTACTAGTTAGCATTCAGATTTTCTGATGGATCCTGTCTTGTAGACTATGCTGAGTAGAAAGGAACTTCACTGAATTCCTACAGCTTATGTTAACAGTAAAAACCTAGATTTCTTTGGCATTGAAAGTGATCCTAGACACTGTCCCTAGTTATCACATGAATGTTGACAGTTGCAGAGAAATACCCCTAGACACCAAGATTCAAGAATTATCATCTGGTCCCTACTTGCCATTTACTTCCACATGCAGTCTCATGATCTTCAGAGCCTGGGCAACCAAAGTAGAAATCAAATTATGTTTACAACATGAGATTCTATCTAATGAATAACACTAAAGATCCCCATTTAAGGCTTCTAATGATCCTTATCATTCCACTTCTTTTTCATGGTTTTCTAGATACTTGGGGTGGGATAATAACTCTGTGAGGCATGCTGTCTGGTAAGAATATGACAAGCCTCTTCCTGAAACTGAATCATTTACTTGGTCCCTATGTTCGTTCTTGAAGTAGAGTTATGGGTAAGAGCCACTGTTTCTTGTTTTTGCATAATTTAATAATTTTCTAGTACCGAATTACAAACTGCACAAGAAAAGAGCAAGGATCTGACATTTACTATGACATTACAGTTAACTATTACATCAGGCATTGTCCCACAATTGTTTATTTTTATTATCTATTTAATTCTCATAATCACCAAGCAAGATAGTGTAATTAGCTTCATTTTTTACATCAGGAAATATGAATAGACTCAGAAAGGTGAAATAACTGTTCAAAATAACACAGCAAAGTAAATGGTAGTGTATAGATTTGGACTCACATTTGTTTGGCAATGAAGCCTTTGTAAGCATGTCATAAATTCTCAATAACTGACTCAATAACATGACTGAGTAAAGGAATGACTGTAATCATGCAACCTTCTTAACGTTGACTTTTAAACAACTGCAGTATTACAAAGTTGGAAAGGCTCACTTGGTGATTACTTCATCAGGTTTCTAGTTATGTATGTACTTAAAAACATCTCTAATATATTGGGGGTGTAATGCAACCTTCATTTGACTACTTATCAGAAAAGCATTCAGAGTGATTGTTGAATCATTTATTAGACAGTTCTTCTTTGCATTACACTTCTATAAAATCTCTTCCTTTTGAGCCTTGTTCTGCCCTTTGTCTTAATCTAATCCTTCTTCTAGATGTTATTCTCTCACATACTTGAAGATAACTTTATATACTCTGTCTTCAAAGCTAAATACTTGCAATTTTTTCAGTTACTTCTCAAGATCTCTTACAGATAATAGCAGCTTAATAAATGTTGAATGAATGCAGGAAAGAGTAAATAAATATGATACCCGGATACTCCTCACTTCCTTACCCTCTGTGGGGTTTCTGTGTTTCTGTGCTATGTGCTAGATACATGCTAAGGCCATAGTACTGGCAGACAATGAGATTATAGTCCTTGGTGTACTCTTGCTCTGAATAGTGGACACCACAAAGCATACTGGATTTTATTTTCCAGCACAGAACAGTGCCCACATCTTCAACAACTCAGGTTTGCATCAGGTCACATGGAGCTGGAGCTGAACAGCAAACCTAGTTTTCTTCAGGGTTAAAGGCAAGACCTGGGCACTAGGGGATCAGCTCCAATTTAAGCAGGCTAAGTTTGTAGTCTAATGTTCAAAACTCAGGCTTACCTCAGCTGAAATGGAAGAAATAGCTGCTCAAAGCTAGTTTCTTTCACGCCCCACTGGCAAGGTAGTAATTGCACAAAGACCTTTTTATTATAAGTTGATTTTCCTGAGAAATGAATTCAGAAAAATACTGTAAAGTGTTTATTTTTTGCTTGCCCTTTATTAACCCACATCTTAGGGCTTTCCCTAGAGAAAAACTGTTGGTAAATGAAACCTCTTAGACCCACATGAAGCATTTTTGCTCTGTGTCCCTGGTAGTGGAGGGAATATGGACAGTACAAAGCGAGTAGGTGCTATTTAAACAGGTCATCAGCCAGTGTATATGGAATTTTGCCTAACGAGAAGATTTAGGAATTTGAACAGGGGGTGGGTTGAGGGTTGGTAGAATTACTGGTAAAGATTTGTATCTTAAATAAGATATAATGCTGCCCTTTTATACTGTCAAAAAGGTCAAAGACCCAGTGTGAAATTAGATAATTTCTTTTGGTGAATCCTAGTTTTGATCTTTAAGGTATGGATTTTTTTCTTATTTTAATCTATAAACAGTGCCTTAAAAGCCAGGACAAACCTTCTGGTTGTGCTACGCTAGAATCAGGGCAGCATGCATTGAGCAAAGAAGGGAGCTAGGAAATTAAAATGTAATTTTCACAAGCATGATTCTGTCATAGCTCTTATTTTCTTTATGTGGAATACAAATACTGATATAGAGTGAAGATTTTCTAGTTTGCATTTTTGTGCTCTTTGATACATTTATTGAGGTCAAATGAAATTTGATATAGTAGGATTTATTATGAAATGTTCTCTGAACACAACTCCATAATTACTGAGCTACATGGTAGTGCATAAAGCTGTAAAACTGCTTAGCCAGACAAGCAATTTATATGTTACATCAAGGTGTGTATGGCAAAGAATATTAGTTTAATTGGGAGCCAAGATGTAGTAGCCTTAAATCTGAAGAGCTATATGTTTAACGTAATGCAGTGAAGCTTTGAAATAAGCTACCTAAACTGGGGAGATACAGCTTTGGGAATATATAACAATTAGACATTATTTTCTGACCAGGGAAACAAAATACTATTTTCAAAATAAAACATAAAATGCAAAGCAGGTGAAAGGGCAAAACTTTGCAAGGTTTTCACAAATTCATCTCAATTGGTTCTCTGCTCAAAAGAAAGAAAGAAAGAAAAAGAAGAAGGTAAAGAGAAAAGGCAACTATTAACCACAAATTGGTGGAAGCAGGAATGGGGCAAATTCACAATGAAGCTGCCTCCTGCGTGCGCTGATATCATCTAGGGAAGGGGATTTGGTGGACTTTTGCCTGACTTTTTCCAGATTGCCCATTTGGAATGAAAGTAGAGGTGGGTTGCTGTGTGGGTACCAGCACACCACAAGGACAGAAAAACAAATACTTCTTGGCATACATCTGCTCTCTGTCTGATCATAGGCTCTCTTCTGTTTAGCAGGTTCAGGGTCACATGCCTCCGCTCATGATCCCAATTTTTCCACATGACCAGCGGACCCTGGCAGCAGCTGCTGCTGCCCAACAGGGATTCCTCTTTCCCCCTGGAATAACATACAAACCAGGTAAGTAGAGAGAGATTTAACATTCTTTTGGAAATGCTCAGATCCACATTTTTCTCTTTAGTAGTCACAGCAAGCATAGGAACATACACGAGAACTGTGAATAAAAATATCATAAAAGTTTATATCAAAGTAAAATTAGAATTAGGAAGAGGGGGCATTGCAATAAACTAATTAGATGTTGAAAACTTTGACTCTCTCTTCTTCCACTTGGGTTTGTTCTGAGTTCACAGACACAAGGCTGCGTTTCTGGGGGACTATGGAATTTTTGTCTCCTCTCTCTTGCTACTTTCTTGTGACTAGTTGTCTCTGGTTAAAATCTTGCCTCCTCCTAAGAGCTTTTATACTCTGGGAAAGTGATAACATACAGTATATTTGCTGTTCTTGATTGTTGTCAGGTTTCTTTCAGAAGAAAAGTTAAAACTACTCTGATTTAATTATCTTACTGCCATAAAACTGGTCTGATTCAATTAGCTTGCCACTAATAGGTAAAATCCATTTCAGTTTTAGTTTAAATAATGAAGCATTCAGTAACATTTTCCCATGTATATTCAAACCTCAAAAAACAGGTCACGTAACCTTGCAGTGAAATATGTTTTGAGATGATTTAGCAAATGTTATGATTTTTCTTTATTCCTCTGAGTTTACTGGACTCCTGGGGAATTCAATTAAGGGCATAATGGTTTGAAGCTTCTTTCAGAGCCTCCTTGTAAACAGGGCTTTAAATGTTTAAAGATATGTTGCCAAAGGAATCCAATGCAAGAAGATAGTCAAGTAAATAAAAGTCAACCTTAATTTCAGTTGTGCATTCTTTGTAAGTGACCTCAGCTCAGAAGTAGTGACCTTGTTCTACTCATTAATAATTTCTATGTCAAGTTCTTTTTAACATATTAACCTGATTTTATTAACCCCCAAATCTGAGTGCAACAAATCTTAGTGCAGCATTTTCTTTATGTATGTGGTTTATCAAGCAGACAATGGCATTTTAATATGCTTAAAGCAATAATAACATGTAAATCACTTTCCTGAAATTCCGGGTAAGGAAGCTTAGAGAGAGCACAAAACAAACCTGGTGAGCTCCAATATCTGTTTTAATTGCTTGCTGCCATTGACTGCTCTTTTACATTTGGTAGACAAATCCCCTCCTTGTAAGAAAAGGTAAGGTGTTTGTGTAAAACTCCAGCGGTTTAAGGAGTAGAGATGTTAAGGGGTTGGCTAACTTAAGGACTGCCTGAAAATTCTCCAGATCCCCATGAGTCCAGCCTAGTGTCTGTGTTACCAAGAGGTTTTTGGATACCTGAGTCAAAGAACACCGTGTTGTTCTTTTTCCTTTTAGAAGAACTTCTTGAGCAACTTACATTCCCTATGAAATTGGCATCTACTGAGGTTAGCGCAGGAGTGTATGAGTATTTTGTCAGAGTATGTTTTTGTCAGCGTGATGGCTTAGTTCTTCTGTGATGTCTGTAAGTTGATCTGAACTATTTCTTTATCTCAACTTCCTGTGCAGCATGGAAGGGAGCTGAACTGATTGCTTTATCCTGAATCTAGGTGCCACTCCTGCACCAGTGCCAGAAACTTTTATAGTAAACAATATGGGGAACTCTATTTGATGTCAGATGTATGTTTTAAAGTAAAACCTTCACATTTTAAAATCAGAGATGGGCCTTATTTTATGCCTTACACATAGACATCTTGAAACTCTGTTCCTTACCTAATTATGTTGAAAGGACAGCTTTTCTTCCTTCCTACCTTCCTTCCTTCCTTCCTTCCTTTCTCTCTCTCTCTCTCTCTCTCTCTTTCTCTCTTTTGGTGAGGGGCAAGGTATTGTTATATATTCAGTGAAATTAGATCACTTGTTAGCAAGCCTCTTCAAAGAACTTCAGTGAGACTGTAGCCTGTGGCCGAGAACACAGACATTGGGATGCTGTTGTGCAGGTGTTCGTTCCCGGCGTCAGAGTGCAGTTAGAGTCGTGTCCTTTGGCAGCAAAGCTGTAGTTTGATTATGCTGGTGAAAACCTGATGAGGAAGATAGGACAATAGGTTTGGGTAAGTAGGAATATCTGTAATCGAAGCAAGGCTGGCAAAAAGGTGTTTTTCTAGTGACCGCCTTGGTTATGTCAAAAATTTAAGTAGCTAGAACTCTAACTCCTCTGATATTTTGGCTAATCTAGGATTCCTTGTTTACAAAAATTATTTAAAGTGGATTAAAATTGTTTTTTACACTATTAGTAGAGAAATCACATAGTCGGGAGACAATCTATGCGGTATTTTTGTCATTCACGTGAACTGGCACAGTAGACTACTGTTGGGCTGGAGTCTGGACAAGAAACACTTTTTTGCCTTAAACTGGACCTATGATGACTTCACTTGAAATGTATGTAAGGCAGTGATTACATTTATAGAAGGGAGTAATTTTGTTGCACATAAAAGCCTTGAAATGGTGGCATAATTTTTTTTCTGGTGCCTAAACAATAGGATGAAAACGTGCTACCTTGGTCTTAATAGATTATAAAAAATAAATTTCTCTTTGCTCCCTACCCACCCTCCTGTAATCTGAAATAATTCCATAGTGTTTATCTCTCCAGCTGATTGAATAGTTGTCTTGATTTCTGGAGAGCAGGGACCACATGGGGGTAATGTTCTGCAGCAATGTTGGGAAAATATAAACAAACACACAGGGGACGATGGGCCCTCACCCCCTCCAGGTGATTTGGCCTGTAGGTCTGTGTATTTCAGGGTCCCAGTGTGCAGTGACCACCCGGACTGTTCACCCACCCCTGTGTATTGCTAAGGAATGTGTTGCCCACATGCACAGCATTGCACAACTTTAGGGGAGCAGCTTTCAAATTGATCAATAGCTTTAATGAGTTTTGATCTCTAAACGATTTTACTCTGATGCTGGTTTTATAATAAGAGACGTTTTCTAGAAATGAACTCATCATCAGAACAAAACCCACAGGCTTTTGGTTGCTTTGCTATTTCACGTTGTGATACTGAGAGCTGTGGCAATCAAGGATAAGATAAATACATGTGAGCACTGCTGTTTGAGAAAATCAAAATAGAAAGCCTCTTTTGCAGTTCCCAGTGTTTTTCAGATGAAGACTCACTTGCCTGGAAAACAAAAACAATAAAGAGCTTCTTTCGTGCCCCAGGAATGATATGGCTGACCCATTGCTTCGTGTAGCTGGGATTTTAAAATGATTGCTGCAGGGGCCAGTGTTGTAACACAGTGGACTAAGCAACACCTTGTGACTGGCATCCCACACCAGAGCACTGGGTTCCAGGCACTGCTGCTCTGCTTCCCATCCAGCTTCCTGCTAAAGTTCCTGGGAAAGCATCAGATAATGGCTCAAGTGCTTCTGCTCCTGCCACCCAGGAGGAAGACCAGGATGGAGTTCCTGGCTCCTGGCTTTGGTCTGGCCCAGGCCTGAGTGTTGCAGCCCAGTGAATCAGTGGGTGGGTCTCCCCCATCCCACCAATCTCCATTGTTCCACCTTTCAAATAAAAAAAAAATTGCTACTAACATCAGCAAATTTGCTAGGAGATCCTGGGTGTAGGATGTCTGCCTGCCCCAAATCCTCCATCTACTCACGTGTTATAATATATCATCATTTACTATATGATCACTGTGTCAAATCACTGTGTTAACTGTTCACATGGATCATTTACTTCATTCTTACTTGAACATGCCGTTTAGCTTTACTGAATCATACTTTTTTACAACCTAAAAAAAGTGTCATGATTTGGTCTCTACTCAATGTGGATGTGACAAATTTATTAAAATAATGAGCATTCTTTGAAAATTATGCAGCGCTAGAATTGGGTAAAGTTTGACAATGAAACTGAATACTTTTAACTGACCCTTTAAACTATATTCTTATCTGTTAGAAATATGATCTAAAAGTTGAGCTGAGTCATAATGCCCCTCTACTCAATGACCAGAAGCTATTTTATAAATGTATATAATATTTTTATTGTAGTAAAATGTAAACAACATAATATTTATCACTTTAGCGATTTGTAAGGTACAACTCAGTGAGTTTAATAAACATTTATAATTTTGTATAACTATCACCATGATTTATAACCAAAACTTTAATTTTTACTTTTTAATTAAAAACATTTGCTCAATTGACATAAATACTGTATATATTTATGGGTTACCATGTAATGTTTCTTGCCAGGAGCCAGGAGCTTCCTCTTGGTCTCCCACATGGGTTCAGGGGCCCAAGGACTTGGGCCATGTTCTACTGCTTTCCCAGGCTATAGCAGAGAGCTGGATCAGAAGTGGAGCAGCCGGGACTAAAACCAGCGCCCATATGGGATGCCGGCACTTCAGGCCAGGGTGTTAACCCACTGTGCCACAGCGCTGGCCCCATCCATGTGATGTTTCAATACATGTGTACAATTGTATAATAGCCAAACAGGTTAGGCATATATATTTATTTAAAAATCATTTGTATTTATCTGAAAGGCAGAAAAACAGATCTCCCATCTGATGGTTTACTCCCCAAATGCGCGTAACAGTTGGGCTGCACCACATGGAAGCCAGGAGCCAGGAGTCAGGAGTCAGGAACTGCTGTCAGGTCTCCCACACAGGTGGCAGGGACTCAATTACTTGAACCATCACCTGCTGCCTTCCACTGTGTGCCTTAGCAGAAAGCTGGAATCAGAAGCAGAACCAGAACTCAAACTGAAGTTCTGTGATACAGGACATGTGTGTCCCAAGCAATGTTTTAACCACTGGCCAAATGCCTGCCCCTTAACATTTCTTTGTTGTTTTTTTTTTTTTTTCTGTTGTTGTTGTTGTTTTGTTTGTTTGTTTGTTTGACAGGCAGAGTGGACAGTGAGAGAGAGAGACAGAGAGAAAGGTCTTCCTTTTGCCTTTGGTTCACCCTCCAATGGCTGCCATGGCTGGCGCTCTGCGGCCGGCACACCGCGCTGATCCGATGGCAGGAGTCAGGTGCTTCTCCTGGTCTCCCATGGGGTGCAGGGCCCAAGCA